TTTTTAAATAATTTCTGATTGTTTAGAGCAAATTATATAACTGTGTAATATTACTTAATTTATTAATAACTTAATTTTTAAATAAATATTGAACAAAGCTTTTTTAGAAAAAAATAAAAATATTTATTATAAGTAAAGAAATTTAATGTATAAATAAATTATTTAGTTAAATTAAATTTAACATATTTCGGAATCTTCATAGATATAATAAAAGAATAGGTGTAAAAGATAGCTTTTGACTTTCGCTTGGAGATGATAGCCGTGACTCGAACTTTGCCTGAGAAGGCTGACGCACTATCTACGTCACCTTTATGTGCCAGGGCTGGATTAAATAATACAGCATTTTGAAATGTTATTAAAAATTTAGATTTTAAACTGATAACACGAAAACATTAGACTAGCTGCACTCTTCTCTTATAGAAATTTAATATTAATACTGATCAATTAATCAGTTATTTTTAGTATTAAGTTTTAGTATAAAACTTTTAATAATACTTTTGCAAAATAAGATTAATTGGCTAATATTAGTATTAAATTTTTACAAGGGTTTAATCTGTTTTTAAACGAGAGAAATGCTACTTAATTTTAATCATGCTACATTTTTAATTATTTCTATCTAAATTTAATAAATAACATTAATTTATAGATTGAATTTTTTCATACATCGACTACATTTTTTTCCAAAGAAACTGAGATATTTAAATATTTAAAGCTATCAGATTTTGTAACGTTATAAAATTGATAAAATTAGTAATAACATTTATGAAAAATTAATCAAATTTTATTGTGAATTGTTATTTTATTTTAATGTAATCTTTACGAAATTTAATTAAATAATTTTAACATATAAAAATATTCGATTCTTTAACTTAAGTTTTTATTTTATCGAAAGAAATTTCAACTCATCCGCCCCTGGTATTCACAATGCAGAAGTTCAGATCGTGTTACGTCACCACTTTCATTGTTACGTAGTGTTACATCGTCAGAACCATGGTCATAATCGTTTATGCACTATGTTCCGCTTCGTGACGTCGCGAAGATGAGATGCTTTGCATGCCAGGATCGCATGATTTTCCAGGAGCGCCTCCGATTTTCTATCTTTATCGCGTAAAGAGATCTATATTATCCATATAATATAATTCTTTCATTTTTTTTTATTAAAATTTAATTTATCGATCTTTGATCAATTTAGACACGTCTCTTTTGAGGAGAAATAATTAAAGTGTAGTTTAAAATATAATGAAAAAAGGTATGGAATAATTGATTTCTATATAAGATTTCAATGCGAAGAAAATGGACCATTTTCAAATTTGATTACAACGAATATAGAGAGAAAAGAAAAGTGAAAAAAATTACATAATGATTAGAGAACTGAACTGTGTTTTATACATTACAAACTGAAATATTATTTGTTGTTCATGTTTGCACATAAGAATGATTTGGAAATCATTAAATAAAAGAATATTTAGGCTCTGGTGCTCGTATGTCATCGAAGACGCTTAGATCGGGTTCGTCATCAGGATCAAATTCTATGTCCATTGGATCGATCGTAGGAGGTGGATAGGGAATCCTGGGTTTTGCAGACGGTGCTGGACGCATCAGACACGCTTCCAGTCTTTCCTCCACGCACTTTTTTTCACCTGTCGCATTTATTACGGACGCAGTTTCTCCCGCGTATTGCAATATGGCATCTATATTTTTTTTGTATTCCTGAAGCCACATTTTGTGAGTAACAGCAAAAATAATTATAATAATAAATCTAAAAATTATAATAATAAATATAAAAATAAATAATTATAATAATAAATATACAAAATAAATTAAATTAAAAAGTTTAATTATTAAGAGAAAAGATTTGTAATTTATCATTTTCATATCATTTATTCTTTTCTTCAACTATAGATAATAAAATAAAATATTAAACTTATTTAAACTTTGAATAAGAAAATATTTTCAGATATAATACGATAGTTACATCTTGTTCGATGACATCTTTATAATTATTGGAATGAACATCTAATTTATAGTCAGAATCTGTCATCGAAGATTCGCACGATGACAACTCATGTTCGCTTTCAGTAGTAAAGTTCCATTCACGATTTAAGAGTCTTTCTCTGCACGTTTGTGCGTCTATTTTGAGGATGATGACTCTGACACATTTCAAAAATCGTAATTATTATTAGATTTCTGGAATTGTTTCTTATAATATTTACCTATTGGGTGGTGTAGATATCATATCTAGGAGCTTGAACTCCTCTACAGTTTTAGGATAACTTGTCAAAATCCATCCTCTCTTGAGGCAATCAGACCCGAGTACATACCGCTGAAAATAATAACAATGCAAATACGATGCCAAATCAATTTAATGTTTCTTAGCGAACTATAATCACACTTCAATAATTTGTACTCGCGCTTCTGATTTTACTTTCTGTGCGCATCTATGATTACACATTCGCAGCATTTCACCTAAAGCCGTCTCTTGCAAGCATACTTCTTTCAAGATATCATTGAAATCAACTGTAAAAGTATATAATATATTTTTATTTGAAATATTATTATTATTAAGAACAAACTTGTCTAACTAAAGGTTAATATATTGACAAAAATGATTGCAAAATGTAATATTAGAGATGAGTTATAAATTTTCCTAATAAAATATATGTATAATGTTTAGAAAAAGTATTAAGATGTTACTAAATAATTACATATATATGTATATTATACCATGAACGAGATTAAAACTCTCAGATACATGTTTTGCCAAAGAACGATGATCTAATTCTCGAGGACCTATAAGAACAATGCGAAAGAGTGATGGGGCTCCATAGTGTTTTCTAATTTTCATTACTGTCGCGCAATCTTCGCCCAGCTCTTGAATCGTCTTAGTACCAGTTTCAACCTCCTAAAGAAAATTTTTTTCATGATTTCGTAACAAATTAACAACATTTAACATAGAATCAATCAACGAATATTTATAGTAATTGTAGAATAAAAATTTATTTTGCTAAAATATACAATATACGAGTATTATATAGAATATTAATATACAATATGAACAACATATATATTAATTTAATAATAATTATATTATTATAAGCGAAAATATAAAGTCATAGATTGATAACTAACAATTAAAAGATTAGCATAAGCGTCACGTAGACCTCGAAGACGTCTCTTATAATCACATTGTCTTATATCTTCTACAAATAAACATTTAGAAAAAAATGAATTAGATGGAGTTAAAATTCTATATATTATAAAGATTAATATGTTACTCTTTCAATATCTGCAAATTAAAATAGATTCTTATAACTTAATTTTTGTTTGACCTTTATATATTTTAATATCTTTTTTTTATATTTTATAATTATGTTAATATATAAAATATGGAAAAAATATTAATATAATATCGTTAATCTAAGAATGTTATAATTTATGTTTATAGAATGAACGTGTTTTGCAAAGATGGAGATGGATATGAATGGACTTAAAAGGAGAGATTATATATAATAATATTGTTTATTCAGTAAGTATACTTTTTTCTCGAGTCTTGTCTTCTACACTGGATGTAATTTGTATCACGTGTGTTGGTATTATGCCGACATACTGCATTGCACGTGCTTCCTTTTTATTTCTTGGTATATCTATACAGCAGATTATTTATTTACGCAAAAGAGAAAAAAGAAAATTAGTTACTCTTTTCTTGTAATATTAGTTATAATATTTATATTATATTGCAATAATGTTGCAGTTTTCCATAATAATCCAAGTTTACTTTATTAAACGCAATAATCAAATTTACGTAAGCAAAATTACCAATTAATATCCATCCAGATTCATGAAGTATTTCTGACATTAACAGTTTCTTCATTCTGTCTGCGATCTCATTAGCATCATAACAGCGGCACATGTTCTAAAATACACGTATTTATGTATAACAAACGTTTGGTGTACAACTAAAAATAAAGAATTCATGCAACTTTTTAGTCTAAAACATTTTATGAGAAGTAAATAATTTGATAATACTTCAATAGAAGATGAAGCATAAAGATCTTCTAAGGTAACAGGACGAATCCCAGTTTCCTTTTGAAGAATTTTTGCAAGAGTCATTTTATCTGTAACAGAGAAGAAAATCTGTTTTATTTTAGAAATAATATGTAGATACAATAAATATCCAAATCTTCTTAAAACATCTTGGTTTATTGCATTTTATAAATGTAATTATTACCAAATACCCGAAGATATAGAAAATAATGAAGATATATTTTAAGACAAAATATTTTAATATTTGTAACTATAATTACATATTATCATAATTACGATTATATTATTACTGCTTTGTAAATAATTATAAAATGTAATTATAGCCATACAAATATTATAAATTTTTCTCTTAATGCAGACTTTCATGTTATATTTAAGAACATATCCTTACAATTAGTTATTAATGTTGATTATATTATAACGTATTACCGAAACTTGGAGGAGCTATAAGAATAACTCTAGGAATATCTCGTTTTCGTACAATATGCTGGACACTTTGTTTTATAAATACTATTGGGTCATCTGGCTGCTGGATCAGTAATTGCGTCACTAATTCCTATGAATTTTTTTATATTATAATACAATGCAATAAATAACATGATTTAATAGAATGAGACACATTCCAATATAATCTAAAATACATAAACAAAATGCAACACAATGTGTAATATAACCAATAATCAAATCGATAAAAAATATTTCAGTGAAATAAGAAGATCTAATTTAATTACATAAAAGAATTCATATAATCTGTGTTTTTCCATGTATGGTACGAAATCCGGCGGAATAGTTGATAACGATCTTGTTGTTTCATCAAAATTGCTCATATTTTATGAATTTTATGGTTAATTAATTATAATAAGATATTAATATATATTTGATATATTTAATTAAATTCAAGCTATATGCGACTTTCAGTTTTCGAGAATTATTCGCTTTTTTATTCATATACAGAGCATGTCGAAATACAGAGTAATACAAATTAATACATTAGAGACGAATTGATTTTCGAAGTAATAATTAAAATGCGAAAACAACAGTTTCAGATATAAATTAAATTGAGATTACTGGACGATTTCGAATTGTAATCTATTATTTTTGATAAACACAAAATAATAAGAATTAAAATTGAATGTATTTTTTATAAAAATCAGATAATCATATTTACAACAATAATACATAATATGTTAAAGTATATATGCACCGGAAATAAGTAAAATATAATTTTTCAAAAATCTATGTGCGATTCAATGTTAAAATTAAAATTTGCTATATTTATTAAAATTTATTAATAATTTAATATTATTTACATTACATACTTACATTAAAACTCGTCATTTTGCCGCATACTATCTTCTTTATTAATATCGTATTATATACATACGTATATGTACGTATTTACATACATACATGTATATAAAAAAATACATTATGTGTGTTACAGTTCTTTGCGTAAAATTATTATTTTGCAAATTATAGTTATTATTTTTATAATATTGTTTGTAGAATGTAATAGAACGGAATAAAATCAATGTTTTTGACGCAAAACAGAACAAATCGAAAACCATAGATATGTTACCAACCGTGGAAATTATCCGTGGCTACATAATTCAATGTTTTGTACATGAAGGCGCCACTAAACGGATTCCATCTGCTTCAAATCGCGCAAGTTTAACAGTTGATACTTGACTTTTTAAGAGAGGATTTAATCGAAATCTCTTGAGATAAGGCGGCTTGGATTCCACAATTGCGCATTTTTAGCTTATATTTAGTATTTTGAGAACAATAGATCTCTCTTAAACTATCACAAAGCACGTAAAAGCTTACTTCTAAAGTGATATTCGTGTGATCTGTTTAGAATGAGTAAGAATATATTGTACTTGTTCGAAGTGAAAATCGATGTGTATTATTTTCCATTTTTTAATGAAACTATTTACGTTCATAATTCTATATCTAAAAAAAAAGACAGAAGAAAGTTCAGAGAAAAATATATCTACGTATATAAAATAATGTCTTTTATTTCTAAATTGTGGAGTAGCATTAGTTGTCATAACCTAATATTCTGTATAGTGAATAAGGATTGATATGTGTTTATTAGATAGAAAAAGAGGATCCCAGAGCAGTCGCAATATGAGAGAGAGTAGCGAAGATATGTTTTTATCCCAAGACTATCCTGGCCCGAGCAGCCAAGCCAGCCAGGCTAGCCAGGTATCATCACGATGTACTAGAAGTTCAATCATCAAGAATTCACAGTTCATAAGTTCGCAGGATATGGAGACACAAAAAGAACTAATCAGTAGTATAATAAGATACCTTTTCATGGCAGATCGCAACAAGTTACCCATACAGAAATCACACATTATTAAACATGTACTAGGTGGAAATAGCAAAATATTTCGTTCTATTATAGAGAGTGTAAATATACAACTATCTGAGGTATGTTTGTTTACTTTATGAATACTATTTTTAAAATAATAATGGTTTATGTAATTACTTAATTGCTCTTACAAAGCAAACTATTTAAAAAATAGAATTGTATTTATAAGATTAAAAATTTTATATAAATTATGATATTTGAAAGGTATTTGGATATAGCTTAGTAGAAGTTGAAGGTAATAAATATATATTAGTGAATAAAATAGAAAATAATCTTCCACATCTCACCTTCAACGATAATCATAAACTGGTGCTGTTGTATCTTGTACTTGTTCATATTTTTATGTATGGTGAATCATGCAAAGAAGGTAATTTTTATTTTTTGGTAATTTACATGTTGTCTAATACATACCTGATATATTGATTTGTGATGTAAATAATATATTGAATTTTTATGAGATACTATTTAATAAAGTTAATGTTGAAAATAAGTGAAATATTTTTACAGAAATACTGTGGGATTTTCTTCAAAATCTGGGTATTATAACTGATAATAATTTTCAACATGAATATTTTGGAGACATCAAACAATTAGTGACAGTGGTAAAAATCAATACCAACTATTACAATTTATATAATCATTGTAGTTGATTTTTAAACGATATTTATTCACTTATAGGATTTTGTAAATCAGAGATATCTTGAGAAAGTAATAATAAATAAGAATGATCCAACAGATTTTGAGTTTACGTGGGGCTCTCGTGCGAAAAATGAGCTCACTTATCATTCTGCTTTACAATTTGTAGCAGATGTAAGTACAAAAATATGTAATATGTTTAATAGTAAAGATGATAATGAAATGATCAACATATATGTATTAAATATATATTTTTATTAATATTATATATAAGCATTATTTAAAAAGTTCTTATGGTTCACCATTTTTTTATTTTATTTTTAAATTTTTTTCTGTTCTATTATAAACAGAATACAATCGCACATGTAATATTATATGTTTACGAATAACAAATATTTGAATTGCAGATATATGATTGTCCTATAAAGAAATGGAAATTGCAATACAAAGCTGTACAGGACGAAGAAAAAAACGTGAGAGGAAAAACATAGTCTATCTACGTTTTCGACATGTTACAAAAAAGAAAGAAAAAAAACTCAAAACTTTTCTGTTTTATAATACAAAAAATTAAAAAAGCTTTTTTTTTATACCAAAAAATATATCATTGAAAAGGTATTATAAAAGTATTTAAATATAAAAAATTTAATAAAAAAGTTAAATTTTGTTTCTCTATATATTCTCTCTCTCTCTCTCTATACATATATATATGTATGTATGAATGTATGTATGTATGTATATAGTATATATATAAAATTTTATAATGTGAAGCGATTGTTTGTATAATTTATACTTTCTCTTCCGTTGAAAAACTTGCATATGATAAAAGAGTAACGCTACATATTTCTAGACCGAATTATTTAGAATTTCTTAGATATATTTACTGTCCCTGAAAGCAGCCTTAAAACTGCAGGCATTAAAGTCGTAGAATCTTCAAGCAAAAATGCGGAATAACCCGAGTCACGTGCATATGCTCACAATTTCATTTGTATGGTTTGGTTAATTAAAAATATCTTGAAGAAAAATGTACGTAATTCGTACAGCAGATATCTAGCTATCCCGTATAATTAATCTCATTAATATTTTTTTTATACGATTATTTTTTTGCATTGTTTATTTTATATCTAGCGAGACTCTAACAGTAATTCTTGCTTGCCAAAATTGATAATCGGAAAACGCTTATAAATTCGTTTTATCTTCAGAAGCTTTTCACTTCAACTCGGATGGAAACGCCTTTCATCATCAATTGCGACGAGAATCATTAGTTTTGTCGAGTTTACATAAGCCGCTCTACGGATTCAGGACGAGGAAAAGAAGCTTTCTGAGATATTCCTCGCACAGATCTTCACAAACAGGGAGTCCACAGGTTGCCAAACTTTTCGCGTCAGATATCCAGCGGCCGTCCGTACATTTACCTTACGTCCTCGTAAGGGCGAGGTGCGGGAGGGTGGTTGCGCGGAACGGAATCTGTGTCGCGCCGGGTCGGTCGCGGCCCACCGCCGTCTCCGGGATCGCGCGCTCTCATCAGTGTCCACCCAGCCCCGTTGCTCGGCGGAGGCCGCCGAGCGCCGTCTCCACCCACGCGTCTTCATTTCGAGTCGCGCGTCGCGATTCCATCGCGGCGGGCACCCCGCGTGTCGTTCCTTGGAATCCTCGCGCGCCATACACTGCCTACACAACCCCGTACGGGGTCGATAACCCACGAGGAGGCTTGGACTCTTATCCCGAGTACGTTGTACTTGCTCTGGAAAAGTCACAGTGGATCATCACGATTTCAATCCTTTCGGTACGGTGACCAATTTATTTATCGAAGTAGTAAAATTCAATTTTTTCCGCCTTACAAGATTTCAGACAGAAGCGGATTTCGTAACAAGAACGGAATGCGTGAAAAATAAGGGTACTTTTACAAAGAACGTGATGCGTGAAACGCTTATTAGATTATAATTCAGAATAATATAATATCCCCAAAGTCTTTTTAATTAAATCTTTGATAACACTGCGTTTTTTCTTTTGAATCGCAAAAATTTATTTATATATTTAAAAAGAAATTTATGTATTTAAAAAAAAAAAGGTTTATGTATTTATATTATTTTTTTTCCTTAAAAATGTGGAATATACTATTGACTCCTCAATGTATATCGCACTTTCGTTGCTGAGCAACACGAATAAGGATACTCATAACATCCTGATACTACAGAAATACGCTTTATTTTCTTGCAAACAATTATTACAGATTATAAAATATACATATATTTGTAATGACATTTACATTTTTCTTAACATTTTATCAAATTATTTATATTATTTCCTTAACATTTTGTCAAATTATTTCTATTTATTTATGTTATCATATTTTTATTATTTTAAGATGTTCTATAAAATTAAATTGATTTAAATATAGTCAAATAGGAGAAAACTGAATACGTTTTCCTTTTTTTAAAATTAATTAATTACATAAAGATATTTATATTT